AGCAGGCAGGCAGCCTGGCAGGCCATATTTTGCGAATATAGCAGAGGATATAGCAGATCCAGAACTTGACAAGCTGGAGCCCCAGACACTTGAAATCACTGCCTGAGTGTTGTGCTGCGTGGTCCAGGCAAGTCTCAGGGCTGGTTGGAGGGTGGGGATTGACCAGCTTGGCACAATCCAGGCGGAGGTGAGGGCTGGATGTCTCCAGCCCCACTCTCTTCTGGGAGTTAGGCGTCACTCCCCACCCCCTTGCAAGGTCCCAGCAAGTCTGTCACCCTTTCTGTTGGCACCCCACTTCCTCCCACACCCCAACCTGTGCCAGGTCCCAACCTAAACCACTGCGCACACCCCCTCCCTCCCGCAACACAAACCCTCTGCATTGGAAAAGGTTCAGAAAAGGGCAACAAAAATTATTTGGGGGGTGGAACGGGTCTCAGATGAAGAGAGATTAAAAAGACTGGAACTTCTTAGCTTAGAAAAGAGGAGACTAAGGGGGGATATGACAGAGGTCTATAAAATCATGACTGGTGTGGAAAAAGTGAATAAGGAAAAGTTATTTACTTGTTCCCATAAAATAAGAACTAGGCGTCACCAATGAAATTATTAGGTAGCAGGTTTTAAACAAACAAAAGGAATTGTTTTTCACACAGCACGTGGTCAGCCTGTGGAATTCCTTGACAGAGGAGGCTGTGAAGACCAGAGCTTTAACAGGGTTCAAGAAAGAACTAGAAAATTAACTGAGGTTAGGTCCATCAATGGCTATTAGCCTAGGATGGGTAGAAATGGTGTCCCTAGCCTCTGTCAGAGGCTGGGAATGGGTGATGGGAAAGGGATTGTTTGAAGATTCCCTGTTCTGTTCACTCCCTCTGGGGCATCTGGCATTGTCAGAAGACAGAATACTGGGCTGGATGGACCATTGGTCTGACCCAGTATGGCCGTTGTTATGTTCTCCTTCTGTACACCAATTCTCTGTGCCAGCTCACAAATCCCTTCTGCCCTAGGTCACAACCCAAACCCCTGCACTCCTTCCTGCACCCTATCCCAAATCACAACCCCCTCCCAGACCGCGCATTATTTTAATGATTTAGTTAAGTCATTTTGGGAGGGAAATTTTGAATTTACAGAACAAAGTTATTCAAGACCATAACATTGCTTAATTTCTGTTTAATGATTGAATATGCTTTATGCATTCAGAAAATTGTTATATTTATCACTAATGCAACAAACGTTACAAAAAGCTGTTAAATGAGGCACAGATAAAAAGAAATATAAAACTTAACACAATATGTTCAATTTTTTAAGTGATATTTTAAATATGCTTTTGTAAATTAAACTGAGCGCAAGGCTATTTTGCTAACCAAAATCACGTGAAGTTAAAATTGCTAATGTTGTGACATCATTTGAAAATGTACAGCTCTAGAAAAATATTATTTTATTAATTATTAGTACTTGTGAAGAGGTACCAGTGGCTCAAATTCAGTAATGGGCTGTGAACACATAATTTCAGTTGACTTTAATGGAGTTGTATGTGTGCTACCAAAAGCTAGCGTTAGGCATGGTGGTATTTCTTTAACCAGTAGTATAGATGGCTTTAAAAAAAGTAGCTGATTCTACAAAACACATATGCTCCATTTATTTTAAAGGAACTTAATCACATGCTTAAAGTTAAGCCAATGTTTAAGTGATTTGTTAGCTAAGGGTAGACTTGAAGTTTAAAAAAATTAGCATATAAGGAATATAAAATTATTTAAGTGCTTGCTCGTGTCAATTCTGTTTTAGATGCGTGCCTGCCTGCATTCACAGTTATCAGAGATTTTTGCCTTATCAGCATCCATATGGCCCTGAAGAGTATCCCACTCATGTGTTTGTTCATTAGGCACTGCCAGCCCAATGCCCTCTCACTTCCTTCTTACTGCCCATGAGTGCCTTGTCGTGTATCGCAAGAGCATTAATGATTCTTAATAGCCCATTTACCTTTGTGTATAATTCCGAGGTACTCAGTTCGCCAATTTAAGTAAGTGTTAGTTGTTAGTTTAGTAGTTAAGGATCCCAGCTAGGACTTCATCCTGGAGCTTCAAGTCACGTTCATCATGCAACAAGCAGATGCCTTTCAGTGACTCTGCAGCAGCTGTTTGGAGTGCTTGGGGGAATCCCATATTAAGAACAAGTGCAGGATTTTCAATAACTTTCATCCCAGAAACCAGAAGGAATAGGACATTCTCCTGAGAGCCCTCCTGAGGGGGGCCACTCTTAGCTCCCCATTGGAGCCCTCCTGAGCAGACTCCACTCCCAGCACCTTGGCATCAGTGCAGAGCACCCCACCAGCACTAAGATCCACCTGGCACCATTTCCCATTGTGGGCGCCTAAGAAGCAGCAACAGAAGAGGAGCTCACCCCATCACCATCCAAGAAGGGGAAGAGGGTTCAGGGCAAAGGATCTAGTTCAAGCGCATGGAGCCACAAGGGAGTACTGCTATGCTCAGATCCCCTAGCCCAGCCAGGGATCTGCCTCAGACGTCCAGGAGCACTCAGGGATCCTGGCCCCTACAGGGACCTTTGTGATCTGAGATGACTCAGGTTGCCAAAGACCCAGTGGGCTTCACAGCACCGCAAACACCATGTCAGTTGCCAGATGTGGCTAAGGCTCTGCAATCTAAGGTCTAGCCAGCCATGGGACCTCCCCAAATGCAGAGGAGCACAATCGGTCCCGGATCACAGGTATTTATTTCTGACCCCACAGCCAATCAGCCTGGTCCCATAACCTCAGTTGTTGGTTAGAAGGTACAAGTCCATGGCACTGCACTCTCCTTCCCAGAGGCACAGAACCCATATTCCCTATACCTGCCAGCCTCCTAACTGAGATCACTTTGGCGAAGATCCCTATTGGTTAGCCAGTGTCCTAGGCATCCGTCCCCACTGATGTAGGACTACTCACCATCATGGCATTGATATCTATAGTTCTGATACTGCTCAAAGGACAGGTGGCAATCCCCACCCTCTAGGCATTGGTATCTGATAAGGATTAGTTGGCAGATACAGGTCTCCATGGTCACTAGAAGGGGATTGGTCTAAATCGGAGTTTGGGTCCAGCCCTTCGCCGGAAGGGTACCAACCCTACATCAGTCCACAAGACCAGTGTGACTGCGCCGTGGCAGCAGGGCCAGTGGCCTGCTCAATGGCCATGCTGGAACTTTTAGGAAGTATTGATCATGCCAGTTCCATACACCCATCAATCCTCACTGTCTGCTTCCCTGACAAACTGCTGGAACTGGGTTTAGAGCACTGTGTGAAGTCCATCACGGGGCATTGCAACAGGTACTAGTGGCCAAGGAACCATCCCCAGAAAGGGAAAGGCACCCCTCCTCCTCTGCCTGCAAAGTCCATGTCATCTTCCATTGCCAGATGAAGCAGAAATGAAGCCTTCGCAGACTGGCAGTCCCTCCAATGACTTTAAGGAGCACCAGGCTCTCCTTAAAAGAGTGACAGCAACTTAAACCTCAAAATTGAGTTTCTGAAAGATTGCTAAAATCCTGTGGCAGACCCCATCTTCGATTCCACCTATGTCCAGAAGGGAGGAAAAGTAGTATTATATCCCTCCAAAGAGGGAGGTGGTCACATATCTTTACACAGACCCGACAGAGTTGCTCATTGTGATGGTCAACAGGATAAAAAGTTGTCCAGTGTTGGCTGAGAGAATCTCAGCATGGATTACTGCCTGTATCTGTTGCTGCTATGACTAGGCCAAGGTGCCTCCTCAGGTGACTGTACTAGCCCATTCAATTGGATACAAGCCTTGTTGACAGTTTTCCTAGCCCAAGTATCAATCCAGGATATTTGCAAGGCTGTCACCTGATTGTCCATTCATATCCCAGTATGCACTTACCCAGCAGGCCCAAGATGATGCTGGACTTGGTACAGCAGTAGTGCAAGCTGCATGACCATGAACTCTGAGCCCATCTGCCTCTTCGGATGCTACTGCTTGTGTGTCACCTAGAAGGGAATCAACACTCGAACCAGGACTCAGAAGAAAAATAGTTAACTGCCTTTCATAACTTATTCTTACACTCATAGACTCATAGACTTTAAGGTCAGAAGGGACCATTATGATCATCTACAGATGCATTCCTCATGCCCGTTCCATTACCCAACCTCCTGTCCCTCTGTTGGAGTTACCAGCAAAAAGGAATTAAGAGAGCATTGGGCTAGCAGCATCTAATATACTGATACAGGACCCTGGTACAGAAGAGGTGCCACAGCTGACCCTACTGAGGCAAAAATCTCCAAATGACTGTGCACATGGGTGTCACACACGCACCTCGAATGGAGGAAATGAGCAACACATCTCACAGAGCAACAGTTACAAATTGAAGATAAAACCATTTTGTAAAGGCTGATTGCATATATTTAAAATATATTGATATAACAGAGTACATAAAAGGTTGCAATGAGCACAACTAACATCAAAAAGAGTAAAATGTGTTCCAACAGAATTAGGATCTGTGACATTTTGACAACAGTCAGAACGTAAGAACAGCCATAATGGATAAGACCTAGGCCCATCTAGTATTCTGTCTTCCAGGAGTGGTTAATACAAAGCACCCCAGAGGAAATGAATAGAACAGGTAATCATCAAGAGATCTATCCCATTGCCCATTCCTAGCTTCTGGCAAACAGAGGACACCATCCCAACCAGTCCTGGCTATAAGCCATTGATGGGCCTATGCTTCATGAATTATTCTAATTTTAGTCCCTAATTCTAATATGTAATGAGTATGCCATTGTTTTCCTTTTTTGCATTTTTATTGATATTGGTACGAGCATAAAGAGGAATAGTAAAAATATTATTTTTCTTCTTTTGATGGGCAATTGAAATGTTTTGTGTATGCAGTGAAAATTAGGCTCGCTAGCCTAAAAAACGACATGTCCAGTAGTAAAGTAAAAGTAACATTTAATAATTGCAGATCTAGTTAATGTGGTTTGGTGTTCATATCTTTACTCAGGTGGAGCCCGAGAAGTTGAAGACACTAACAGAAGGTCTGGAAGCCTACAGCCGAGTCAGGAAGAGGAACAGAAAGTAAGCAGATGCTTATTCATTTACAAATTAAAATCATGAGGTCCTCTTCCCTTGAAAGAATCCCAGAAGTGTCCTAGACACTTGGCTATGTCAGGATTTCAGGATTTAGTTACTAGTTAATAACCTGCAGCATATGCAATGCTGATCTTTCTGATCATACAATAGAAAGTTTCTGAAATCTCCTTAATCTGTGGCAGAGCCAGTGACAATGTTCGTTCATCTTTATTATAAGGGGAATTCTGGACATTGGTAGCATATTATACATTTTTTTTATTTTTATTTTATTGTATTTTTTTTATAAAATTTTATTTATTGGCAGTTTCCAACTATTCTAGTGTGTTTATATCATATATAATGTGTCTCTTCATTTTACTGAATATCTTTCTATGTGTGTGTCCTGGTGGAAAGAGGAAGCAAGAAATAATTGATATATACTGCAATACGGTGGTTTGGGTAGTTTGGTTTGGGTTTTTTGGACATCTGATGAGCCAATTCTCTGGTTTGCACTGACTAATACACTATTACAATGGAGTACCTTATCTCTTCCGGGCTGAAGCTTGATTTCAGCAGAAGTCCACATAAGACGGAGCTGCTTTACAGTAATTGGGAGGAACAAAGGATCTTTGCTTCAGTCCTGAGGAGTGTAGGAAAGCAGCAGAAATAAAGCACCTAGTTTCTGAATTCCTGATTTTATGCAAGTTACGGATTTTGTATTTTAATTTTGTAGTTGGGAGTGGTTGTATGAATGAATTTTCTGGTACTCGAAGCAGGCTTTGAAAATGCCAGCACACGCATTTGAGCTTTTAAGTATAGATTTGAATTTTACATAAAATTATCCATTGCATATTGGTAAAGCTTTTTAGAATTTCTTAATCTGAACTACATTTAATGTAACCAGACTGATTGCCCTGCACAAAGCTTTTATGATGAAATATAACAATTTATATATATATTCAAATTAGTTAGTTTTATCTGAGGTTTTTTGGACTTTATGTAAGATTTTACAAAACTAGGGTAGAGATTTTGAGAGTATGGAAGAAAAGAGAAGTAAATTGAATTTGGGGGAGGAAGACCTCTAGACAGTTATAAAAGGATAACAGAAGTTGGCAGGGTATAGTTTGCTACTGTTTATTTACTGTCACAATGACAATGGGTTAGTTTGTATCTGAACAGGAATTTAAAGTACTCTAGGCTTACAGTTCTTGTCTTCAAAACAATAAATACAGGCTGAAAGGAATCAAATAATTACAGTAGAGCCCCATTTAGCTGATCTGGTCTTGGTTTCAATTAGATCAGATAATCAAAAATTTGGATTATCAGGAGAATGGGCAAAAAGCTTTCAATCTGTTGTTTTATTTTGTGGAATTGCTTTTAAACTAACTATTCTTCTTCGAGTGCTTGCTCATGTCCATTCTGATTAGGTGTACGCGCGCCGCGTGCATGGATTCCGGAGCTTTTTTCCCTTAGCAGTATCCATAGGGCCAGCAGGGAGCCCCCTGGAGTGGCGCCGGTATACCGGTGCATATATACCCCTGCTGGCCCTCCCACCCCTCATTTCCTTCTTACCGCCCGTGATGGTAGCTGGAGCATGCTTCAGGCTGATAGCCTATCTCTTAGCAGCTTATTTCTTATCTGTTGTATTATAGTTCTAGTTGAAGTTTTATCTAGTGAAGTAGTTGTTAACTGTTGTAAATATTTAGTTAGATAGGGGAGCAGTGGAACCCTCCTGTGAGGGGAGGGCATGCCAGGGCCCCAGGGCTTTAAACCCTGTGCTTCCTGCTCCAAACCTATGCCCTGCGGAGATCCCCACTCCGATTGCCTAAAGTGTCTGGGTGAGGCCCATAGAGCTGAAAGCTGCTCTATCTGTAAGAGCTTTAAGCCCCGGACCAAGAAGGAGAGGGACTCCCGGCTGAAATTCCTGCTAATGGAGTCGGCACTGCAGCCTCAGAGCGAGGAGCGGCCTCACTCTGCCCGCAGCGCA